ATTTACTGTGACATGAGAAGAATGCAGTGGGCTCCATTTATCTGTTTGTAATACCTCCCTGTCTTTGAAATGTCTTTAGCAGATTGTCTGTGATGCTCATCACATCTGCTTTAATTGCAATAAGTTTTTACTGCTCTTCTATTGTAGAAAAGTTTTCTGGGTAGACAGAGTATGGTTTTAATTACTGTTTCGAATTTGAGGCCAAACAATTAGATAACCGAGTACAACCAATATAATAATTTTGTTTGTATTCTGGGATCATTCCCAGCATATCACTAGGACCAACCCAGTGCTTGGGGCCACCAGGTCTACATTCAGGGGTGGCTATAAAGCCATGGGTTGCCAAGGATCAAACTCATGGTCTTCATAGGCAGACATGTGTTTAAAGCCCTTTGCGCTGTATCCCTGGCCCTATTTTTAAAACCTGTTTTAATTTTTGTGGTTAAACCTGGTGGTTCTCGGGGAAACTCCTGGTTCTGTGCTTGGGGGTCATTTCCCAGTGGTTCTGGTGGTACCATACAGTGTCAGGGATTGGCCACATACAAGGTCAGTTTCTGATACCTTCTCCTATCTTTCTGGACTCTAAAATCTTTTCCTGTGATCATATATGGGGACCAGAGAGATAGCACTTGCTATGCATACAGCCGACCCAGGTTCAATCCATAGCACCACATATAGTGTCTTGATCCCCACCAAACGTGGGTCCTAAATGTAGAGCCAAGGGTAAAGCTATGAGCACAGCTGGGTATGGCCCAAAAACAGTAAGAAAATAATAGAATAAAATGATTCATACATGGTTGGGACTAGAGAGATAGCACAAGGCTTAAGGCATGAGGTGATCCTTGTATGAGGTGATCCCTCCCCATTCTAATCTTGACACTGCATTTGGTCTCCTGAGCCCTGATGGGAGTGAGCCCTGGGCAGAGAACCAGAAGTAAGCTTTGAGCACCACTGTGGTGTGGTCCACAAACAAACAAAATTACAAAAAAAATTATTAGACATAACAGGTATCATTTTAGGCAAAATTATTGGAACAGATAGCAAGATTTTAAAAATGTACATCTTGATGCACATGAACACTTATACACTGTTTTCACGGCTCACGGACCAGGCCACTCATTCAATCAAACAAGTAATCAAAGCTAAGCACCTTAGAAGCACAGTCACAAAGGGATGTTATTTCATAGGAATATGCCTGAAAGGAAATGTCTGGGGGAAGGATGGCGGAAAGCATGCAGTAAATTGTGGGAAAGGGGGACAGAAATCCCACTTTACAGAGCAATTGTGCCAACTGAGCTTTATGTAGTGTTTTCAGTTTATTTCTGTTGTCTAGTAAAGTTGCTGAGAACCTCAAGTCTTGGATCTCTTGGCTTAGTCTCCACACACAAGTAGCTGGCAGGCTCACTAGGAAGACTGGACATGGTGAACAGGTCAATGGGCATTTTCCCAGAAAACAATCTGAGCAATTTCACACTAGCAACTGCAGAATATTCTCCCAGCTCTTCACTCCTGTGATATACTATTCTCCAGCCCACATTCCGTTCACTCTTCAGCAGTTCTTCCTAATCATCACACTGAAAGAGCCTCCAGCTCGACACAAACATTAATTAATACCTCTGGTCCTCCAGTGTGTCCAGTTACAGCCCCCACTGTCCATTCATTCAAAAATCCAACAAGGCCGCCATCAATTTTTATCTAGACTCGTCACAGACACATATACACATACTCCAAGACCTCATTACAAGATCCCTAAATGCAGACCTCGATCACTCACCAGCCCAGGCCATTCCATCATTCCCATTCACTCAAAAAGTTGTGATTAACTGTCAGATGCAAAGCAAAAGCAGACTAGGGAAAGATTTTACCCAAAAGTAATGTGGGGATTAGGGAGATCCTACAATAAGGAAAACACATGGCCCTAAAAGGAGCAAGCACCTTTGCAAGGCAAAAGAAAATTTTATTTTCTACAAAGGGGTAAACAGATAGGAGGAACCAAGTGCACAGATGTGGGGCTGAGGATGAAAGGATGCTCAGTAAGATGGGAGAACACTTTATCTATGTGAGTTTGTTCTCAGGTGACCTGAAGCTCTTAGGCTAAGTGGTTCATTTTTTTTTCTTTTGCTTTTTGGGTCACACCCAGCGATGCTCAGGGGTTACTCCTGGCTCTGCACTCAGGAATTACTCCTGGCGGTGCTCGGGGGACCATATGGGATGCCAGGTATCGAACCCAGGTGGGTCCCGTGCAAGGCAAATGCCTTACCCGCTGTACTATCGCTCTGGCCCCTTGGCTAAAATTTAGTTCATGATTTTGCTCCACTTCATCAGCAGAGGCAAGCAGAAGCACTAACCACTCATGAATCAAACAATGAGAGCTTGTAGGGTGAGTTCTTTGCCTGTCATGAGTCAACAAGGGAGCACGTTTGAGTCTTGCCACACTGGGAGCAGAGCTCTTTAAGGCCTTTCCTTGAACTCTGGAGGGCACAGTTCTTTTTAACTTTCCTGTTTCCTAGGGAAAGCCCAGGGCCGAGATAAATTTCCAACACTGTTGTAACTGCCCTTTATTTAAAATATTCAGTCTAGTAGGCCGGAGAAATAGTATAGCGGAGAAGTGCTAGCCTTGAACACGACAGATCTGGTTTCGATCCCAGGGACCACATAGAGTTGAGCCCCTCCAGGAGTATCCCGGAGTGCAGAGTGAGGAGCAAGTCCTGAGCACCACAGGTTGTGGCTCTAAAACCAATACATACATTTAGTCAAACGAGTCTGAGCCCCTTGCATGCTCCCCAAACACACCTGCATAAGGTGTTACCATTCCACTAGTGACAGTCAAACCCAAATGCATTCATAGTGATGTAGGCAGGTAGATAGGGAAAGGCTCTCTGCAATGAAACAAAGTCTCATAGAAGAAGAATCTAGGACTGACCCACCCTGTGGACACAGAGAATAAAGACTTGATAAGACCATCCCCAGACCCTGAAGATATGGGCCTCCACCCCATGAAATTCTCCTTTCCGAAAACCCCCTTTCTATCCGGTTAACTCCAGCGACCCAGCCCCAAGGAGGTTCCAGGACATTCCAAGTCAGAAGATTCTCGAACCCCCTTTCAATCCGGTTAACTCCAGCGACCAAGCCCCAAGGAGATTCCAGAACATTCTGAGTCAGAAGGATCTATAAGAGCCAGCTCGAGAGCCCACTTGGGGCTCTCTCCACCCTCGGAGAAGCCCGCGTTCCGTCTGGACGCGTTACTCTCTCTCTCTTACTATCTGCTTATCTCTTTCTCTCCCTTTCCAAAAGCCTCCAAATAAAACCTGTTACTTCACTGCTCCTCTACTCCTGAAATTCTTTTCTGCGAGCGAGACAAGAACCCTAGAAACCCCGGGTAAGGCTTGGGACTGGTCTCTCCTTTCCTGCAAAGAGCGAATTCTCACCCCAACTTGAGTCCATGGCTCCCCTAGCAATTTGGTGGCGGGGATGAACTCCCGTGCCGAGAAGATCAAGGGGACTTTAGGTGTGGCTTGACGGCCACCTTGTGGGGCTGGCGGGGCTTAGGCCCGTGCCGAGCAGGTGCTCACTGAAGACTTCACCGGTCCTAGCCTACCCAGTAACCCTGGGTCCCGAGTGGCAGAGGCGGGTGGGGAGAAAGTGACTGTCTTTCTCCTCCCCGCTTCACATAAGTCACCCGTGGGGCCCACTGACATCAATAGCAATTATAACAAGTCCTGGTTGGTCCCACAAGTAAGCGGACCCTCTTGTGTGAACTGAAGGCGATCTCCAAAGGCAGGCTCTGGGGATCCCTACCTCCCTGCCCAGTCCCCAAACTTGGCAAATGTAAAAACGTCCAAAAGCTTTTTGCAGCTCACCAGAAACTCTCACCACCCTCTGATCCTGTCTACTGTCTTCACAACCTCTCTTCCCCTTCCAAGTCCTAAGTCACTGATTTCACACTCTCCACTGTCTCGACCCTCGAGTGTGCCCAACCCAACCAATTCCAAAGTCTCCCCACCATCAACGCGCACCCACCGCCGGGGCTTGGAACCTCAAGACTCCGGACTCCTTGCGCGTCCCGCCCCGAACACCTCAGCCCCTCGGGCTCCAGCCCTGCGCCCCGGCTCTGACAGCAATCACCGCATGCGCGCGAGTCGCGCTCTAGGGCCTTCTAGGCCTGAAGTTTCGGTGGCAGCTGGACCGGGAGGACCCGTTGCTCCGCCCACCTCACGCCCGGGATCGGCGCCGGCGCGCGCACGTGAGCCCGGCCGCGGAGGACTACATTTCCCAGAATGCCCCACGCGCCCGGACGCCGGCGCCGGAGCGCGCGAGGCTGCCGCCCCTGAGTGAACGCTTCGGCAGCCTCCGCGGCCGCACTGCGTGCTTCAGGAGCTGTGCTGCGTTCCCGAGATGTATTTGTGGGTGACCCTTTGTTTGCCACAAAGGAAAAATAGTATTTCTTCCACTTTGGGTCATAAAGCATTGACTACGCCAGGGACTTCGTGGGCGCTGTCGCGTTTCGGGGTCTCTCGTGGCCGCCACGCTCCCTCGCCTCAGAGCCACGCCCGCTCCGGGTGCCCTCGGGTAGGATCCTTGGAGGCGACATTCCCTGCCGCGCCGCCCCGCGGTAACCATGACGCACTTCCGCCTGCGCCTCACCGCGGCCGTGTTGGGAAATGCACCCGCAGGGTTACTTCCGGCCTGGCCGCAGGACGGGGACTGGGCGAGGTCGGGTCTCTAGTTCACGTCCGTGACTCTGGCTCCGGTGGAGGCGTGCAACTATCTCGGCGTCCAGGCCAGGTCTTGGCCAGCTGAACCTCCTACAGACGGTTCTGGGCGTAGGCGGAAACCTACACGGCCTCGGCTCTGCCGCATCACAAAACGCTCCGACCTGGTCTGCGCTGGCCTGGACGCCACGTCCCTGCAAGGCCACCCCGCATGCTCTGTGTTTGCTACTCGCGAACCCTCTTTCTGGGGTCCAGGGATAGCCGGGGTGGGCGGGTGGAAGGTTGAACAAGATCCTCACGGTTCTGTTCGCAGCCCGAGAGCGCTGTCGTTTTTGCACGAAACAGCGCAGGATGGGCACCAGGCTGCGCACGTCTTCGTGCTGGGTAAGTGGGGACATCGTCAAGATTAAAGGCCGACTCGGCACCGAGTGTGACCGTGCTCATTCATCCCTTCTCGGTCACATACACCTCCTGGACTCCCAGCATTCCCTGTCCTACAGCCCGTATAGTTCACAGTTGCGTCCTCTACGCTCAAGGAAACTAAGACCCTGGTTTAGGGATGCCTGCTTTATCTGTCAGTGTTACCATACATACACTTGTCGTTAGTTGTCTACAAAGCTTTAGGGTGTCTTTTAAGGGAAATCACCCTCTGTTCTCATGCTTATTGGTACTGTGCCCTATGTGTGCCGAGGTTGGCGGTGCAAAGATAAATCACGCACCTTACTTGGTTTAGTCCAGTGTTTCTTAATCCTGTTTCGTTCCTGTGTCCCCCTCACCCCTTCCTACCGGTTGTCCTCCCTATCCTCCCGCTGTCCCTGGCTCCCCATTTACACATTTTTCCCATGTCCCCTTTGGGATATCCTGGGGATCCTCAGAGAGCCCATATGGTCCCCAGTTAAGAAATGCTGGTTTATAGGAGAGGAGGGTAATCAAGTGATCACTGGCAGGAGCTTGAGTGTACAAGGTAAGAGGAGGTAACTGAAGAAGTGAGCCAGTGGACCACTTGGACCATGAAAGTGAGAGATGGAGTGAGCTAGTGGTGACTTCGGAGAGATTGCTGAATGTGTGACCTGTGGGGCATGCTGGTATATTTCCAGTCTTGGGAGCAGTGTTAGATAAGGTCTGTAGGAAAGGGACTCTGCAGTGAGGGAGCTGGGTCTGTGAATCAGGTAAGCATTAGCAACTGGAAACGTCCAGGTGAAGGCTTTCTCTGTAGTACAGACAGCTGACAAAGCACTTGAGACATGATTTGCACACAGGAGACTCCGGTTTTGTCTTTGTCACTGCCACTAAACTCCCTAAGGTTCCTGAGCACCACAGGATGTGGCCCCCAAACTGGAATGGGTCCTCTGTTAAGGGAAGCGCAGGGTGTGACTGGATAGAGCTCAGAAAAGGACTAAGAAGACTCCAGGAGAGGAAGAAAAGTTGGGTGTTTCCCCCCCATAAATTCGAGGGAAGAAATCTGAAGACCATGATGTGAAATTCCTCAAAGAACCATTCTATAGAAACAGTAAAGTGTTGTGGAATTCATGCCCAATTTAATCAGCTAATCAGTGGATGAATAAATAGCAGTACTCCATATCGAATACTCTCGGTAGCTTGCCCTCTCGGAGAGCCCGGCAAGCTACCGAGAGTATTCGATATGCCAGACACAGTAACAACAAAGTCTCCAATGGAGATGTTACTGGGCCCGCTCGAGCAAATCGACGATCAACGGGAGGGCCTTTACCTTTACCTTTTACCTACATAAAAAATAAATAAAAAGAATCATAAAAAAAGAAACAGTAAAGTGTTGAGTTGAGAATTTATTCTGTTTATCAATTTTTTCAGAGCAAAATTTTTTTTTAGAGTGCTGTAGATTGTCAGTTCTTTGTTTAGTTTGTTTTTGTGCCAGAGTCCTGGATCCTCAAGTCTTATGAGGCTGTATGCTCCAGGTTTGCGTCCGGGTTACTCCTGCTAGTCCTTGGAAGAGTTTGTGATACTGGGGATGAAACCTGGGCAAATCATGTGCTCAACCTGTTGAACCTCTCTCCACCCCTGATGGTTAATTCTTGTGAGGTGAAGGGAGTTGAAAACGGAATCACATGAGACTATTGACAGAGGATGGAAAAAATGGTTAGTAATTTTATGTGTTCAGATGTGGCATAGGGGCTGTCAAGTAGAAGGGATTTCACTGAAGTGAATGAGACAAAAAAACATTCACAGTATAAAATGAGAAAACATTTGTAACTAATAAAAATAGATAAAATGAGCATAGATGTGCAGATACAAAAATGACTTTAAAATAATTGAATAAGGAGTCGAGGGTGTAGTTAGCACTCAGTAGAGCACCTAACTTGCACATATGAGGTCCTAAGTTTTATCCCAAGCACCACACACCACACTAAAGGTTGTGAAATAGTGTTCATAGGTACCAGTTTGGTACGCTATTAGAAGAGGTGTCTGGGGAAGAGTGTTGTCTGCTAGGTATTGAACTTGTTTGTGTAGCTTGTGCATGTGTATTAAATGATCACATCTCATGACTTAGGTTTGTCAGGATAAACCAGGATGTCTCACATACAAAGCCAGTGCTCTTATCATTGAGCTATATCTGGGACCCTTATGTCCTTGTGGGGTTTTGTTTCTTATTTTGGTGTTTTTTTTTTTTAAAATAGGGACCACTCCTGGCAGGGCTCCGGTACTCTGATACCAAGGGATGCTTGGGGAACCATGTGGTAATGGGAATCAAACTCAGGGCTTTGCACTCTCCACCCTTTGAGCCATCTCCCTTGCCCATGTCCCCATTTTAGTGCTCTGGGACCATACAGTGACCAGGATCAAATCTGGTATTCCCTGTGTACAAAACATATGCTCCAGCCCTTTAGGCCATCTGCCAATTGGAGAAACCAGATCTGGAGGTAGTGTTTAAGCTGTGCCTAAAAGCTAGTTTGATGATAATGGGAAATTAGGGACTGGAGAAGAGAAAGCATCCCAAGTTTTGCACACAGCTAGATCGATGGCATTAATGGCCTGAAGAACCATTGAATGGGGCCAGAGAAGGTTGGGACTGAGGAAGATCTGTGGCTTAAGGAGACAAACTATAGGGCTGTGTAAGAGAAGTGAAGGATTGTGCTGGAGAATGCCTTAAGAGTTTAATTTGTGGAATTTTGGAGATAGTACAGCGGAAAAGGAGCTTGCCTTGCATATGGTCACATGTGACTCCTGAATACAAGAGTCAGGAGTAAGCCCTGAGCACAATCTAGTGTCCAAGTGTGCCCCTCAAACAAAAAAAGTTTATTTTGTTTTTTGTTTTGGGGCTCTACCATGCAGGACTTGGCTATTCCTGACAATGCTCCAGGAACCATCACTATCACTATCACCCCGTTGTTCATCGATTTCCTCGAGCAGGCCCACTAACATCTCCATTCGTCCCTGTCACATGCTAGTGTAGCCCGATGACATAGTCTTTCAGGGTCAGGGGAATGAGGGCCATCATTGTTACTGTTTTTGGCATATCGAGTATGCCACGGATAGCTTGCTAGGCTCTTGTCATATTGAACCTGCGCCTCCTGCATGCAGAACAATTGCTCTAGCCCTCTGAGCTCTTTTCAGCCCAGGAGTTTATTTTAACATTTTATCTTTTTGGGGGGGTTGGGGGAGCTGCACCCTGCATTACTCAGGAGCCCATGGAGTGATAGACATTGAGCCTGGGGTTACACTCCAGCTCTTTGAACTCAACTCAGCCCCTGTCTCATTGTTCACTTTGAAATAATTTGAAAACTGTAGAGAAGTTGCAAAATAGTTTGTTTTTGTTGGAATATAGCTCCAAATATTTTAGGCCTAACATTGGTTTGTCCTTTCCCCCTTGCCACAAGGAGCTTAGGTTCATTGAGTCACACCCATCACAATGCCCCCGAGTCACTCCCATTCCTTTCTTTATCTGTAACCACTTCTCTATGCTCTCCTCCCCAACCAGTTAATCAGCTTTTCCCCTAATCAGGATCTGTTAAGTTGTAAGGTCAGATCCTTCTAGGACACTGAACTTGTATTATAAGTTAATATTGCCTTTCTCCTCTCCTTATGTCTTTTGAATAGTTTATTTTACTTTTTTTTTACTTTGAGAAACTTAATTTATTCCCATGATTAGGCTGAAGATTCTGGAGTTTGAGCCCAGGCTCCTGCCTTCTCTTCTCTTGTCTCCCAAGAAGAGGGTCTTGGCCAATGTGGCGAGCTGAGGTCCAACCAGGCCCAGCATGGCTCCTGTTCAGGCAGGATGGCAAGCAGGCTTTGGGCAGGATCACTTGGGTGGCCGATAAGCCAGCTTCCAGCTCTTCAGGACTGACCACTTGTGCCTCTTCATAGCGTACACCAGGGGCAACAGCAAGCCCATCATCATCAATATCTTAAGCCCCATCTGCTTGCAATGGTTGTGCTCGGGCTTAAATGCCCAGTGCAGGTAGGTGCACACATCCTTGGCCATCTGGGACGTGGTGACTGGGATGCCATCATCGAACTCCAGACCTCATTGTAGATGGGAGGAGCCATGCCAATAGCCTGGCTGGGAAAGTAGGGGTTGAAGTGCAGCCCCTCATGCAGAGACACGCCAGTGGGTGGATCACAGTAACCTGTGAGCAGGGAGAACACGTAGTCCTCGCCGCCGTGTCTGGCTCTTACAATGTAGCTGAAGTCAGGGGGCAGCAATGCATCGTTGGCAGCACGCACAGCCTCGGGGTTGTGGTAGGGCTTGGGGAAGTAGTCAGACAACTTCCCCGGCCGCATGAACATCTCCCCATCAGCATTGGGGCTATCCTGGACCTCCTCCTCGGTGTAGCACACGCCGACGAGTTGGCGATATGCCATGTAGTTCCTGCTGTGGCACGATGAGCACACCTGCTTGTACACCTGGAAGCCGCGGTGGATGCTGGTGTGGTCCAGCAAGGACAGAAGGCCGAGGTGCATCCACGCATAGCCTGGCGAGTGCAGCTCCAGATGGCTGGCACTCATGGTTGAGTACAGCACCTTGGCCAGGTCGGCACCCCGGGCCACCAGCACGCCCAGCACGACACCCTTCGGCCCTGGGACAGGCCAGCCAGCAGTGACAGGTCCACCGCCTGAAAAGTCCACAAGGGAAGCTGCCCAGGCCACGTGCTGCCCCACGCAGTGAAGCTGCTGCCACTTTCATCTTGGCCATCTGCAGCGTGGCCTCCCTCCCTGAATGGTTTAAAGCAATGTCCTTTTTGTATAGATACAGGAAGACAGTTAATATTATGCTTTGTAATTTAGGATTTAATTGGCTTTGAATATTATTCACTCCCAGGCATCTGCTTTTTCAACTTAAACCTCAGTTGCCCTTAGTTTCTAACACCCCAAAAGCAGGGTCCCAACGAGGGACTGAATGGACCCAGGGCAAGCAGTGAGCTACCCTGGCATCGAAATGGGCCAGCCAAAGTGCCACAATTCTTAACTATAAGTTAAAGAGTTTGATCATAGACAAATGCTGTCATGATCCAAAAGTAACGACGAGATTAGGACCCTGCTAGGGATAGGAAAGACTATCTAGCCTGAGCACTGTAGTCTGAAATTGAGATGGCCTTAGGAGAGCAATTCTATAAGCTTAAAGTATTTTTTACTGTGTCCATACAAAATGATTTATATTATATATGCTTATATGTTTGTTGGACAAGGAGAGGCAAAACACACCCAGGGGGTTTTGTTCTAGTGGGTCGATCTGCTAAATGAGAATCTGTCCTAGAAGCAGCTTTCCCTGAGGGAAAGAACTCTATCCCTATTCATTGTGACCACACCTATGTGTAATTGTTACCCCAACCCCTCATGCTGGGGGTATAACGAGACTGTAAGAATGGGCTGGGGAAGGCAGAGGAGAGACAGGAGTGAATGGAGAGAGGACTGGAATAAACAGACCAACTAGCCTGGCCCTCGTTTCCTTCCTTCGCCTGCCCATCGCCATCAACTTCTCTGGGGTGGGGGAAGCAGCGTGAGACGACGAAACGCGGGTGATGGGATAAGATAAACTGCTGCTGCCTTTTTGTGTTTACACAGTTGTTAATACGACTGGAATTAAAAAACAAACCCTTCACCCATGTTCTCCAATTTGTAATATTTTGCCAGTTCTCTTTTTCTCTCTGTCTGTATATATGCACCTTGTTATTTCCCTTTCTTCTTAATTGTTCAAGGCTCTGATATCTCTCCACTGTCAAAATCAGTACTTGTCTATAGCACTTTCCCCCCCCTTAAGTCCATCTTTCCTTCCTCTTTTTGGATTTGACTTTGGGATCACACCTGGCTATACTTAGGGCTGACTCCTGACTCTACTCAGGGTCTCTGCTTATGGAGAGCAGGAGATTGAACCTGGGTTTCCTCTGCAGGGCCATATCCACTTTCCTATCTCCAGTTTCTTTCCATTTCTCCTTCTTTTCCTCTTTACCCTTCTCTTTCTCCATTCTCTTTCCTGTTATTGACTCAAATAACCTAGGACTATAACCACAGTATAAAAGTTTACTTCTCCCATTCTACTTTGTAGAAGAAGAACCATTTTCCAGTATTTGTTACAGAACCTTCCTGCTATTTTCTCTGTATTTATACCTTTTTTTAAAATACCAGTATGAAAATACATTTATTTTTTAATATTAAATATTTTTTCTCTGGTGGTGGTGGTGGTGGTGGTGGGAGGGTGCTTTGGGGGAACAGTTAATGGTGCTCAGGGTATGTTCCTTGCTCTGTGCTCAGGAGTGATCCTGGCAAGCTCAGGGGATCACATGTGGCACCAGGGATTCAAACCAGGTTACGGCTGCTACAATATGCACAGCAAGTGCCTTCCCTCCTACACAATCACTAGCCCCAGTATAAATTAATTTTTAATTGTGTTGCTCAGTGTTACTCCTGGCAGAGCCAGAGGGACCATATGCAATACTGGGCATCTAACCAGGGTCAGCCCATTTAAGGTAAGCACTCTAACCCTTACACTGTCTGACCCCTGATTGACATTAGTGAATTTTATAGGTGATGGTAGAATTTCATGTGTGCTTAGATTGATTTTTATTTAGATACTTTTAGTTTGGGAACAGGAATGTGGGTCAGCAGGAGAGTGTGTGCCTGGCATCTTGAGGCCCTGATTTACATCCCTAATACCACAAGAGGAAAAATGAGTTATTTTATTAATGGCACAGTACTTTGTGTAAATGCAGAAATTTATGCAGTACTTTGTGTAAATGCAGTAATTTATGCAGAAATTTCCATCACAGATGTACCTTATTAGCTGTCTCTATTGATGGAAATTTAGTTTAATTTGTTACTTATACAGACTTGGAAGCATTGAGGAGTTCTGCACATATTTGTATATATCACGTTCATATCATGTTTCATGGCCTTTTGGTTATTTTTCTGTTTCCTTATAACAAAAAATCTTTCTTGTTTTATCTACCCTCCCACCCCAATGTCCTCTCTCTCCTCTAGAGTAATCAAATTGTTAAATATTTTTCTAGATTTTTTTATATATGTTTATTTACAGCTGTTTATAAAATGTCTATCAGCTTATCTGGGTTTTTACATGATTTTCACACTCTGTAGTATGTTTTTATGGGAGGGGACATCCTGAGCAGTGCCCAGGGAACCCCTCAGTGCAGGGCTCTGTGGCCCAGCTGTGGAGGTCTGATGGCTCAGTGCTTGGACTAGAGGATGTGCCCACTGCTGTGCTCAGTGCTGCTGGGTTCACATAGCCTTGCACGTGGTGCTCAGGAAGCCATGTGGTGCAGGGACTTGGATCTCAATTCCTAGTAGATTCCAGGCATATGCTCCAGCCCTGGCTTACCCCTATGTCCCCTTTCATCATTTATGTTGAGGTAACACAAGTACACCTGGCTCCGGTGTTCTCTGATTGTCACATTCTTAGTTGAGGCAGAGGTGTGGTTGTAATTCTCACCAGGGGTTGGGATGGAGCTCATACACTTTTACTGGGATGTTACCCTCTCTTGTGCTGTTGATACATACCTAGTTGTGCTGTTGATACATACCTAGTTGTGCTGTTGATACATACCTAGTTTTGCTGTTGATACATACCTAGTTGTGCTGTTGATACATAACCTAGTTGTGCTGCAGCTGGAAATTGCTTGTGGTGGAAGGGATCACAGACAGCACAGCTATCAGAATTGTGTAGCAGTTGTCTTAACATAGTAAAACCACACTCAGGTGTGAGCCACTAGTGGTATATGTTAGTGCAACATGTTGGACCCTGTACTGTCTTTCTGGTCATAGAGCACATTATTTCACATTCATCTTTATTTTTGCTTTCCCTCTGCAAGACTGAAAGGTTCTCTGGGAAGTAAGTGCGTTTTTATTCAGGACCCCAAAGGGTATCTGAGAACTACAAGCACAAAGACTTTTTTTTGGAGGGTGGGGCAGCCTCACCCAGCTATGCTCAAGGAAACTTGCAGTGCCAGGGATCAAACACTCCCTTTTGCATGCAAAGCATAAGCAGTTTGCCGAGTTATCGTCTGCCCCAATGGCTTCTTAAAAGTTCTTCTGTTAAAGCAGAGCAATAGTACAGTGGGTGGTGCCACTCCTTTGCACACAGCCAACCTGGGTTTAGTCCTTAGCACCACATTTGGTACTCCTAACCCCACCAGGAGTAAGTCCTGAGCACTGCTGAATGTGGCCCCCAAACAAAACCGTTCTTCCATTAATACTGACCAGTGTAAAAGGCAGTTCATGAAGGAACTTGTCTTTTCCAGTTCCTCTTCATCTTTCCACCCCACCTAATGTAGCTGTATCTGACTGAATGGGTATGTCTTATTACAGGGTTTATTTTCATTCAAAGACATCTCTATGGAGTTCACCTGGGAAGAGTGGCAACTTCTTGATTCCACGCAAAAGTATCTGTACAGGGATGTCATACTGGAAAACTATAGCAACCTGGTATTTGTGGGTAAGTGAAGTTTGTTTGTGGGTAAGTGTAACTTCGGTGGGTAAGTGTAGCAATCTGGTATCTGAGTAAGATATCTCTATGGAGTTCACCTAGGAAAAGTGGTAGCTTCTTGATTTCATACAGAAGTGTCTGTACAGGATGTCATGCTGGAAAACTATAGCAATCTGGTATCTGTGGCACTCTGCTTGTGATTTATCAGGTGTCCTTTTTTTTCTTGTATTGATCTTCCCTGGTATTTAATGATTATGGACTTTTACTATCATATAACATAGGCCAGATGGTCTGTGTCCCTTGCAGACCTTCACCTTTTGATTGTAATCTTTGCCATGGTGAAGACAAGCATTTTGCTTTATAATCCTGGTTCCTTTTTTCCTACAGTTTGGCTTACATCCTTGTGATTTTCCAATAACAGGGTATCCTGGGTCTAAACCTGATTTAATCTTCAAATTGGAGCAAGGAGAAGAGCCCTGTGTGATCAGTTCTACAGTTTTCTACCCATACTGTCTAGGTGGGTGATTGTGAACCAGCAAGTGGGGGGAGAGGATGGGTAGGTGGTTTCCTTCGGGCTGGCAGACTGGCATACAGCAGCATTACTTAGAGGGCTTCCCTGGAGCCCCTCTGGTGAAGAAGGGGCTGTTGGCATTCTCCCATATGATGCTTTCTGCTTGAGAAGTGGCCTGCCTTTCTCTGCATTCTGCTCAACTCTTATATTTTTCTTAATTTCTTTACTTTTCCCTCCCAAGGTCATGGGCTGCTTTGGATATCCAGACCATCTAAGTCTCTTCTCTCTCACTTGGTGTGACTCAAACCCTCACATTCTGTGCCCTGTTTACTCTTCTCCTTTCCACACTTACAGTCCCAGGTCTTTATCTGGACCCTCCTATCCTCTTCTCTTGCTCTGACCCTGTTAGAAAATTCCATGGATTCTCTCTTCTCACAGTGATTGCTTGAAATTACACTTTTGGGGAGGGGCTGGGTGACATATCTGGCAGTACTTGAGATTTATCCTGCCTCTGTGCTCAAGAATTACTCCTGGCTGGATTCGGGGGCCCATATAGGGTGCCAGGGATCGAACCTGGGTCAGCCACATGCAGAGAAAGTGCTTTCCTGCTGTACTATATTGCTCCAAGCCCTTCCTTTTGAAATTATTGTTTGAAATGTATTGCGTGAAACTGCCACTATTCTGGGTGGGTTAAAACATCTCTATTTGGTACACACAAGCGGAGAAAATAAACTGACAAATGTTTCCTTAGACACAGTTTGATCCAGCAGATGTTAGACTACTGACAGATCACAAGGATATAAATAATAAAAATACTTGCAAGTCTTTTTTTTTGTCTTACAGCCATTGTATTTGTCAAAAGAAAAACAAAATTCAGCAGAGGTATTATATTAATATGCAGATGCAGTGTTGTTCATGTTATTGCTATTTATATGAAGTATTACTGTTCCTTCCAGCCCACTTCTTTTCTGTTTTCTTTCTTTTATTTTTTTAATGTTTTATTTATAGTTTTGAGCCATACCTAGCGATGCTCAGGGGTTACTTTTGGCTCTGTATAATGAAATCACTCCTGATGGTGCATGGGGGGTCACATGGGGTGCCGGGGATCAAACCCCAATGGGCCACATGCCAGGCAAATGCCCTCCCTGTTGTATTCTCTCTATCCCTCTTTTCTATTTCTAACCATGCCAAAGAGGTTCCTTTTTCAGGGTCTTTGTACTGGCTATTCTTTGGAATGATTCTGTCTTTTCTTATGACTCCCAGTACTGTTTTATTTATTTATTTATTTAAATATAGGAGTACTGCTATTTATCCAGCCATTGATTAAGCTGATTGAGTTGGGTATGAACTCCACATCAATTTTTTTTAATTCAGAATTTTATTTTTATTTATTTTTTAATAGAATCACCATGAGATATAGTTACAAAGCTTCCCTGTTTGAGTTTCAGTCATACAATGATCAAACACCCAACCTTCCACCAGTGCACAGCTTCCACCACCAATGCCCCCATTATCCCTCCCATCCCACCCCTCCTCCTGTCTCTATGGCAGGCAATCTTCCCCATACTCTCTTTTATATTGCGTGTTATGAATAACATAAGGTGTCACGTGGCTGCTAGAGTGGCTGCATGCTCCTAGAATTCTAAGATTTTAGATAATTAGGGTCTGGAGAAATCTCTGCAGTGAGCTGCTCAGTTTGGATATTCTTTTGTGTGTCTCTGGATCATGGCCAGTTAAGGAGCTTAAGTAAGAGCCGGAGGTACTTTGTGGACATGACTTCCAGGGTCCCTTGAGAGGTCCCATGGATGAGAGGGACGAGCCTAACCCCTATCCCTTGAGGCCTGGAGTTTGCCATTACTGAACCTGTGTACCTGCACTTCTCATTGGGTTCTGGAAGTTGGCGGCTGCTGGGATTTTTAGGGCGCCGGAGGAGGGTCAGTACTTTAAATGTCTCATATCTATTTAAATTTTATTCTCTAGCTTTTTTTTTCTTTTTGGGTCACACCCAGCGATGCACAGGGGTTACTCCTGGCTCTGCGCTCAGGAATCACCCCTGGAGGTGCTCAGGGGACCATATGGTATGCTGGGAATCGAACCCGGGTCAGCCACGTGCAAGGCAAATGCCCTACCCGCTGTGCTATTGCTATTATTCTCTAGCTTTTCTTTTCTTTTTTTCTGAAGTAGAACATATTTTATTTGGAGGTTTCTGGAAGTGTGGAGGGGAAGAGGAAAGAGAGAGAGAGAGACAGAAAGACAGAAAGGAGGGGAGAGAGAGAAGAGAAGAGAGAGAGAGAGATTCAAGGGAGAATGGGAGAATGCATTCTTCAAGGGCTCCAGTATTGTCTCCATTTGTCCCAGCCCTGAGATTTTACATCGTAAACTTTATGCTCTCTCTCCAAGGATGTGGCACACCAGCTGGATGTCCCTTGGGCATAATGGTGACGCGCTTGGTGGGGAATGTGCAGAGGTTGGTGTCCTCCAAGAGTCACATCAGGTAGACCTTGCACACCTCTTGCAGCACCATGATGGCCGAGCTATGGGAGCACAGGTCGGTCTTGAAGTCCTATGCAATCTTGCGCACCAGTCATTGGAACGGCAGCTAGCGGATCTTGTGTAGCGCCACGGTATCGGCCAGTAGCGGTGTGGCTTCTTCATACCAAACGTGACTGGTGTGCTCTTGTGGGCCGCCTTGGAGGCCAGCTGCTTACAGGGTCCCTTCCTGCCTGTTGACTTGTGCTGTCTGCTTAGTAAAAGCCCTCTCGTTCTTCCCAACTCAGCTGGAGACTCCTTCAGGGTTAGGGAAATGAGACCCATTTAGCTACTGTTGTTGGCATATTTGGTACGTCACAGGTGGCTTGCCAGGCTCAGCCATGCGGGCTGGATATCCTCAGTAGCTTGCCGGGCTCTCCGGGGGTAAGATGGAAGCTTTTGGGGCGATCTCTAATCGTCTCTGTAGGTGTTCCCAGTCTACCAAATGTTAGCTCCTGGTGACCGGCCTGCTATAACAATTTGTACACTGTCAACATACACTTGCCTGCATTTCTGGGAAGCGCCTAAGGCATCTGCGGTCTCAGGTGGATCTCCTTGAGGTGGATGGAGTGTGCCCAGAGGCTGTCGAACAGCTGGCAGAGCAAGATCCTATTGCATAGGGTCTGTGCCAGGTCGAACACCTGCACCGAGTTCCAAGTCACTCAGTGGTTGGCAGACAGAGTCCTGCAGTGGACAAGTTAGTGCACAGGCCACTGTCACTGCTCCACACTCAATGGTGCCATGACTCGGTCCATCTGGGGGAGGTGGTGATGCTGTGGTGGCCACCGTGGTCTTTCTTCGCCCCGAAGCGCCACTCTGTCCCAATCCCACAATGCAGCGAGCGATGTCCAGCAGGAACCATGCACAGAGCTCTAGCATGGATCACATGCAGAACTCCATGCCTCTGTGCATCACCCAGAGCGAGATGGTGAGCCAGGTTCGGGAGAGCACAAGGGGTTCAACTGGCGTCGACCAGTATTTCTTTTTTTTTCTTTTTTAATTTTTCAAAAATTTTTAATGAAACACCATGAGATAGAATTACAGACTTATACACTTTAGTGATTACATTTCAGTCATACAGTGGTCAGGTACCCATCCATCCACCAGTGCCCATTCTCCACACCAATGTTCCCAGTATCCCTCCCACCACCCCCATTCCATCCCTCCCCTACCTCTGTAGCAGGCTCTCTCTCTCTCTCTCTCTCTCTCTCTCTCTCTCTCTCTCTCTCTCTCTCGGATGTTATGGTTTGCAATTCAGGTAGTAGGTGGCCATCATGTTTGGTCTATAATCTACTTTCAGCACACATCTCCCATCATGAGTGAGGCCTCCAAGCATCCTTTGCTTGGTGGTCCCTTCTCTATCTCAGCTGCTTTTTCCCCAGCATGTGAGGCCGGCTCCCGAGCTGTGGAGGAATCCTCCTGGCCCTTATCCCTACTATCCTTGGGTGTTAGTTTCCCATTATGTTACTTTATATTCCACAAATTAGTGCAGTCATTCTATGTCTGTGCCTCTCTTTCTGACTCATTTCACTTAATACTTTCCATGTTGATCCACTTACATGCAAATTTCATGATTTCATCTTTTCTAACAGCTGCAGAGTATTCTATTGTGTAGATGTACCAGAGTTTCTATAACCAGTCATCTGATCTCAGGCACTCGGGTTTTTTCCATATTCTGGCTATTGTAAATAGTGCTGCAATAAACATACAAGTGCAGATATCATTTCTACTGTACTTTCTTGCATCTCCGGGATATATTCACAGAAGTGGTATTGCTGGGTCAAATGGGAGCTCAATTTCTAATTTTTTGAGAAACATTCATACTATTTTCCAAAAGGGCTGAACCAGTTGGCATTCCCACCAGCAGTGAGGGAGAGTCCCCTTCTCCCCACATCTGGTTGCCTTTGTTCTTTTGAATGTGGGCCAGTCTCTGTGATGTGAGATAATATCTCATTGTTGTTTTGATCTGCATCTCCCTGATGATTAGTGATGAAGAGCATTTTTTCATGTGCCTTTTGGCTATTCGGATTTCTTCTTTGAGAAAGTTTCTGTTCATCACCCCATTTTCTGATCAGACTGGATGTTTTCTTCTATCTTCAGTGCATCATGGTCTGAAAAGATAGTTGATACAATTTCTATCTTCCTGATTCTATTGAGGTATGTTTTGTGACGCAGCACATGATTTATCTTGGAAAATGTTCCGTGTACACTGGAAAAAAATGTGTATATTTTTTTCTTTTTTTGGATGGAAGGCCCTGTATACATTGATTAGCCCTCTCTCTTCTATTTCTTCCTTCAAATCCAGTACTTCCTTGCTGAGTTTTACTCTTGCTGATCTATCCAGAAGTGATAAGGTGGTGTTGAAGTATCCAGCTACTAGTGTGTTGCTACCAATACCCTCCTTGAAGTTTATTAGCAGTTGTATTTTTTTTTTTTTGCTTTTTGGGTCATACCTGGCGATGCTTAGGGGTTACTCCTGGCTTTGCACTCAGGAATCACTCCTGGCAGTGCTCAGGGGATGCTGGGAATCAGATCTGGGTCGGCCACGTGCAAGGCAAACGCCCTACCCGCTGTGCTATCATTCCAGCCCCCTATTAGCAGTTGTTTTAAGTATTTATCTGGGCCTTCATTGGGTGCATATATGTTTAGGAGTGTGATTTCTTCCTGCTGTACATATCCCTTATCATCTCATGACATCTTATCATCTCATTCCTACTTTGGACAAACTGGCAGGCTACCGAATGTAACCTGCCCACACAGCAGAGTCTGGCAAACTCCCTGCGGTGTACCCAATATGCCAAATACCAGTAACAATGAAGGGTCTCATTCTCCTGACTCTGAAAGAGCCTTGAATATGGCACTTTTTAAAAAAGTCTCAGGGCTAGGACGAAGGAGACGTTTCTGGGGCCTGCTCGAGGCAATCGACGAATAACAGGATGGTTGTGCTTGTGATTGTGATACATATACCTTGATTATTTAAAAAGACCTTTGCTGTCCCTTCTAATCTTTTTTTAGCCTGAAATCTATATTGTCGGATACTAGTATGGCCACCCCAGTTTTTTTGAGAGAGCTGTTTTCTTGAAGGATTGTTTTCCATCCTTTGACTTTGAATCTATGTTTGCTCGGACTGTTCAGATGTGTTTCTTGTAGACAGCAGAATGTTGGGTTCAGTTTTTTAATCCATTTTGCCACTCTATGTCTCTTAATTGGTGCATTTAGACCAGTGACATTGAGAGAGATTATTGTCATGGGATTTTGTGCCATCTTTTTCTAGAGGTTTGTTGTGCTTGTAGGGGTTTTTCTGGTCTTACAGTAGCCTCTCTAATCCTTCTTTTAAGGCTGGTTTTGAGTCTATGAAGTTCCTGAGCCTTTGCTTATCCATGAAATAGTGTATTGTTCCTTGGCGTTTGAATGAGAGTTTAGCCAGGTAAAGTATTCTTGGTGATGCATTCATTTATTGAATTTTTTCACTATATCCTACCATTGTCTTCAGGCTTGGAAGGTTTCCTCTGATAAGTCTGCTTTAAATCTAAATGGTGCTCCTTTGTATGTGATTTCCTTCTTTGACCTTGCTGTTTGCAGTATTGTGTCTCTATTCGTGGTATCCGTCATTCTGATTATATGTCTTGGAGGCTTTTTATTAGGGTCCCTTTTAGCTGGTATCCTTCGGGCTCCTAGGATCTGGATGCTTGCATTCTCCAGCTCTGGGTATGTCTCACCAATGATATCTTTTTTTTTTCTTTTGAGTCATACCCAGCAATGCTCAGGGGTTACTCCTGGCTCTGCACTCAGGAATCACTCCTGACAGTGCTTGGGGTACCATATGGGATTCTGGGAATTGAACCCGGATCTGTCCCGTGCAAGGCAAACGCCATACCTGCTGGGCTATTGCTCCAGCCCCACACCTATGATTCTTATTTTTTTCCTCTTCAGTTTATCCCTTAGGTCTCTGACTCACCTTAGAGCTATTTTGAGGTCTTTTCCCATTGCATGTTGTTGTCTGTATGCTTTCTGCAGCTTATCTTCAAGCTCACTGATTCTGTCTTCGGCTGTAGTCATTCTACTGTTGAGGGCACCCACTGAGTTTTTTATTTCATCTACCAAGTCCTTTATTAGTGACACTTCTGTTTGTAGCTTTCTTATTTTTGCTTTCATTTCTTCCTGTATTTTCTTGGCTGTCCATTCCCCTTTTGTGTCCTCCTTTAACTTACTGGATGTCTGTTCCACCATTTCTTTGAGTTCATTGATCATCCTCAGCATTTCATCTCTGAATTCTTTATCAGAGATATTGTACTTGTGGGTCATTGTTCAGATATTGTACTTCTGAACCCTTTTCTTCCTCCACTCCTGATGGTGGGGATTTGCACTGTTTCTTCATGTTCTTGTGGTAGTATGGAGGTGGGACCCTCCAGTTCACTATCAGTGTACCCCTCTCACTGCGAGAAAGGATTTTGGATGAACTCAGTCAATGGTGGTCACCTTTTACCATTCTCTTTGGTGCTCCTCTGTAATTTATGTGAGGCCTATACTGAAGCTGCAGAGGTCGTGTTCTTTTATATCATGCTTGTTTAGTTTCTTGTGTTCACAGTTACTTTGGTGAGATTGGAATAGTCTACTGTACTGTTGGCCTAATGTAATTGGTATAGCCAGGATGTTCTCAGAATTAGGTAATGCAAATTGAGATGAGTCCAAGGTACCGAGAAGGGGGAAAATAACTGTGGCCACCCCAGAGGCCACGCCCCCTGCCACTGCATGGTACCTGTGAGGGAATTGGCTGCAGCTTTAGTGTCGAGCTGAATTAAAGTTCCACTTCTGATTTTGTTCCTAACGCTTCCTGGGGTTCCCCTGATCTAGGTGCAGGGGGCACCTTGTCCAAGGGGGGAGGCAGTCTTGCAGTTCCCTGGGTCTGTTTTCTGGGCATGCTATGCCACAGAGGCCTGACCAGTATTTTTTTTTGAATCTGTGTCAAGCCTTTTACTATAGCTATCAATGCTGGCTCAAAAGATCTTCAATTCCATATGAAATTTATGATGGAGAAGTACATATTTGGTTGGGGGGCTGGGGTAACTGTATAGTGGTTAAGTGTAAGTCTTGCAATTAAGTCCCTGTGTCTACTCTCCACCACTAATGTAAAAGCTTTTTTCCTCCCCCTAGAAGACTGGAGAGAATGCTATCAGAAAAATGAAGGTAACTTTTATAGCATTGAGAGAATCTATGCTTATAATGCATTTGGAAGACTTCTGAATAAAACCTACCTTTCTTCAAGACAAAGACTCCATAGGTATAATACACGTGAAAAAAGCTTGACTCAAAACTTAGGTTCAACCAGAAGCTACTTAAAAAAAAACACTGACAAGTTTTGTGGATATAAAGAGTCATATTTCCTTAAGCATCAACTAACTTATGGTACAGACAAAAAATGTGTGTGCAGTGAATGTGGGAAAGCTTTCCGTTGTAAATCACAGCTTGTTGTACATCTCAGAATCCATACAGGAGAGAGACCCTATGGATGCACTAAATGTGAAAGAGCCTTCAGTGCTAAGTCAAACCTTAATGCTCATCAGAGAGTTCATACAGGAGAAAAGCCCTACTCCTGCCGTGAATGTGGGAAAGTCTTCTCTTTCAGATCTCAGCTCATTGTTCATCAGGAGATTCACACAGGACGAAAACCTTATGGTTGTAGTGAATGTGGAAAAGCCTACAGCTGGAAGTCACAGCTTATTTTGCACCAGAGAAGCCACACAGGGTTGAAACCCTATGAATGTAGTGAATGTGGGAAAGCCTTTAGTTTGAAGTCACCATTTGTTGTACACCAGAGAACTCACACGGGAGTAAAGCCCCATAAATGCAATGAATGTGGGAAAGCATTCAGGAGTAAATCATACCTTCTTGTTCATATAAGAATGCATACGGGAGAGAAGCCCTATCAATGTAATGATTGTGGGAAAGCTTTCAACATGAAGACACAACTTGTTGTACATCAGGGAATTCACACAGGAAATAACCCTTACCAATGCAGTGAATGTGGAAAAGCCTTTGGAAGAAAAGAACAGCTCACTGCACATCTAAGGGCTCATGCAGGAGAGAAGCCTTATGGGTGCAGTGAGTGTGGAAAGGCTTTCAGTAGCAAATCATACCTTGTGATACACAGAAGAACACACACAGGAGAGAGACCCTATGAATGTAGTTTCTGTGAGAGAGCCTTTTGTGGGAAGTCACAGCTCATTATACATCAGAGAACTCATTCAACAGAAAAGCCTTATGAGTGCAATGAGTGTGAGAAGGCATATCCTAGGAAGGCATCGCTTCAGATACACCAGAAAACTCATTCAGGAGAGAAACCATTTAAATGTAGTCAATGTGGGAAGGCCTTCACTCAGAAGTCATCTCTCAGTGAACATCAGAGAGTTCATACAGGAGAGAAGCCATGGAAGTGTCCTGACTGTGGAAAATCCTTCTGTTGGAATTCAGGGCTCCGGATACATCGGAAAACTCACAAATGAAAATATAAATTGTATGCTAGAAGGATTCTCATTTCAGGAGACTTGAAATGATACAGACAAGGGGCCGGAGTGATAATATTGCAGGTAGAGCACTTGGCTTGCACGTAGCAGATACAGGTTCAGTCTCCAACAACATGTATGGTCTCCTGAGCCCCACCAAGAGTGATCCCTGAGCACATAGCCAGGAGTAAGCGCTGAGTACCACTGGGTGTGGTACAAATACAACAGAAATGATACAAACATTAGTTAATAACCAGGAAATCATAAAATTAGTCAATTCAGTCCCATAAGGAGAGGAACTAATCATAATTAAGATTCGTTGCCATACCTTACAGTGCTCACGGTCATTCCTGATGGGAGTTCCGGTGACCACAGGTGATATATGATTCAACTAGGGTCTAATTTATGGTAGGAAAGATCTTACCCTAGACATTATCTCTCTGGCCCATAGACTGGTCATAGTTGGAAGAAATGTAGATGTCACTGTCACTGTCCCCCCGTTGTTCATAGATTTGCTCGAGCAGGCCCAGTAACGTCTCCATTGTGAGACTTGTTGTTACTGTGTTTGGCATATCAAATACGTCACGGGTAGCTTGCCAGGCTTTGCCTTGCGGGTGAGATAGTCTTGGTAGCTTGCCGGGCTATCCGAGAGGGGTGGAGGAATCTAACTCGGGTCAGCCGTGTTGGCCGCTTGCAAGGCAAATGCCCTACCCACCATGCTATCACTCCAGCCCAATGTATATGTAAGCTTTCAAAAATAATGTTTTACAAATCTTTTCTGACAAGATAGTTGAAACGAAGAACGGTAAACTACTCATCATTATGAGGACGTTATTTAGCAAAATCATACTGGTAATACCTTATATATTTAAATAGTCAAAGCATTATTCTATAGAAGTTGTGGAAAATCACCTTCCAGATTGAAAGCTATTTCTGTGAAGAAATCCTCAATTTTAAACAGCAGGCTTTTATGGTTGATAATAAGTTTAATTTTAACATGTAAATAATGTCAGGAATATTTTTTGAATGTTTATCCCATTTATTCTGAATGGGATATTTAGTGTGACTTCCTTAAAACCACCAGCATTTAAAAATATTTTAAGTTTTCAGATTCAGATTATACAGGGGTTAAGGCACTTGCGTCACATGTGACCTACCTGGTTCCATCTCGGGCACCACATATGATCACCTAGCTCTTCTAGGAGTGATCCTGAGCACAATTGGGCATAGCCCAAATACCCCCACCTTTAAAAATACTTAGATTTTAAAAAATTGTTTTAGGTACAGCAGGTAGGGCCCTTGCCTTGCACATGGTTGATCTGTGTTTGACCCCTGGCATTCCATATGGTCACTCAAACCCCATCACTTAGTGCAAAACCAGGAATAGGCCATGAGCACCTTTGGATGTATCCAATAAATAGTGTTCTATGGGTCTACAGTGATAGTACAGTGGATAGGGCATTTTACTTGCACATACCCAGCCTGGATTTGATCCTCTGCACCAGATATGGTCCCCCAAGCCTGCCAGGAGTGATCTTGGCATTTGTAGGTGTGGCCCAAAAACAAAAAATATTTTTGTTTTAAGGCATGGTTTACTCAGGTCTTACTTCTGGCTCCTCACTAAGGGATCACTCTTGGCAGGGCTCTGGGGATTCTATGGGGTGCTGGGACTCAAACCCAAATCAGATGCATGCAAGGCAAGCACCCAAACCTTTGTACTACCTTTCTGATCCCTATTTTGCCTTATTTATTAATTTATTGGTTTTTGGGTGACACCCAGCGATACTCAGGGGTTACTCCTGGCTCTGCACTCAGGAATTACTCCTGGCGGTGCTTGGGGGACCATATGGGATGCTGGAATAGAACCCAGGTTGGCCGCATGCAAGGCAAGCGCCCTACCCGCTGTGCTATCACTCCAGCCCCTAGTTTGCCATATTTAAATGTAACGTTTTATACATACATTTGATAGTCTGTGGTCCAATAATCTCCAAATTAAATTATGATTGTCAGTTTTGTGTCTTTATTTCTTACCAGTATTTCTAATGTCAATCTGTGGAAGGACACATTTCTCACTGCAAATTCTATTGCTTATTGGTCTACACTGTTCTTTACTATAAAGTTCAGCTTCTTAATGAACTTTGATTTGGTTTCACAGTTCATGGTCTTCTCCATTGACATTGAGAACATCCTTGTCTTCTCTGGAGAAGCACTGCTCCCATTATATATGTTTTTATGGTCATGTCTGTCCGGGGTCTTTTCACCAGCCACAGGCAAGTCTTATGCCTGATGTTGGGGTAATGATGAACTTTCAGGATATTCTTTTTTTTAAATTTTTTTTATTACTGAATCACCGTGAGGTACAGTTACAAATTTACATATTTTCGTGGTTGTGTTTCAGTCCTACAATGCTCAAGTACCCATCCCTCCACCAGTGCCCTTTCTCCACCACCGTCTCTGGAACCTCGCCCCATCCCCAAAACAAAATTCAACAGCCGAGCACATCCGCAACTCCAGTTGTGTTTTATTTGCCCCCAGTATTTACTGAGGCACCGTGACGTCAAACGACAATTTAATGTATAGTGTTCTCAAACCCAACCCCAACGGCAGAAGTCAGCTTCCACGGAGGTTCCTATACCACCCGCCCTCTCAGTACTGGCCTTTAAATCCCCGAACTGCACGGTTTTCCCCGCGGCAGGCACTCACGGACAGAACAGCCCCGAGAGAGCCGGAGCCGCCTCGGAGCATCCGGGAGACGCGGGCGGGGTCCGCGCATGACGCTTTCCCCCCCCACCCGCGTCCGAGCGCGGGGACGCGTTTTCCTCGCAGCACCCGCCGCTCCTCCGCCGGTCAGACGGCCGAGCCTGGGATCGGTGTCGCGCTCCGGGTCTCGCCATGAGGGTCCCCGGCGTGCGAGGGGCGGGGGCGGGGTTCCCGGAGCCCCGACAGCTTCTGACTGGAGGGCCTTGAGGAGGCCAGGCGGGCTCCGAGGGGGCTGGGAATGGGGCGGGGGACCGGGCGGGCTCCGGGGGGCACGGGGACTCGGAGCCGCTGGGCTGCACTCGGTGCCCCGGGCCCTCTGCGCCTCGCCGGACTGCGCTGACTCTTGCAGCCACAAGGGAAAAGGAGCTCAATGAAGTGCGGGGGTCCAGGGGCCAGAGCCAGAAGGGAAAAGGAGCTCAATGAAGTGGTGGGGGGGCCAGGGGCCAGAGCCGTGGGACAGAGGGGAGGGCCCTCGCCTTGCACGCGGCCGGCCGGGTTTGATCCTCGGCATCCCTCACGATCCGCTGAGCACTGCCAAGAGTAATTCCTGAGTGCATAGGTGGGGTCTACATCTGCTGGCAGTGCAGCCAGGCTCCTGCAGCACGTGGGCGCATCTCTCAGGCCTGGTGCACTTCGCTGGGTGCCCTGCGCTGCCACTGAACCATGCTCGCCAGGAAATAAGGTGCACGTCCGCAGCTGATGCTGGCTTGGTCCCGAAAGTACCCCCCTGAGATATGGACCCAGTGCCTCCGCGCAAAGTCTCACAAAATTTTTCTTTGGTTACTTTCTATTTCTTTGTTTCAGCGATGTACTATATTGAAATTGCTTGTGGTTTTGTCTGTTTTCTTGGGATAAGAACTTTAACATTTGCATTAATGTATGTACTCGGGACTGAAAGGGAGCAGATAGCCCACTCATTCTATGTGAAGGACTGTAGTCACAGTTTGGGGGGTGAACTTTTTCGATTGGTGGCCCAATCTGCAACTTGAGTGTATCATGGAACTTGGACACGGTGCTCTCTCTACTCTAAAACTTCTTTAATGAGCACTGAGCATACTGAAAAGGGCAGTGCAGTGTGTGAGCATTCTATACTTGAGACATGTAAATAAAGGACTTTGTGTGTGTGTGTGTGTGTGTGTGTGTGTGTGCGCGCGCGCGCGCGCGCGCGCGCGCTACACCTGGAAGTGCTCAGGAAATACTCCTGGTGTGCTTAAGGGACCATATAGGATGCCAGGGATCAAACCTGGATTGGCTGCTTGAAAGGCAAGCTCCTTACCTGCTGCAATATTGCTCTGGCCACAAGGTTCATTATTTTTAATTCTCTTTTCCCTGAAATTCTTGCAGAACATGAGACTGAGTACAGCTACAGCATGATGAAGGTTACTCCTTTCTGAAGATAAAATGAGAGCTGTAGTACCGACATTAGTTTGTAGTATTAGGTAGAAAACTAGCACGGTAAGCAAAAATACCAGTGAGGTTGATACCCTGTTAAAACAAGAACAGGGGCTGGAGCAATAGCTCAGTGGGTAGGGTGTTTGCCTTGCACGCGGCCGAACTGGGTTCGATTCCCAGCATCCCATATGGTCCCCTGAGCACTGCCAGGGGTAATTCCTGAGCGCAGATCCAGGAGTAACCCCTGTGCATTGCCGGGTATGACCCAAAAAGCAAAATAATAATAAAAATAAAACAAGAACAAACTCTACATTGAGGAACTCTGGTGTCCATTTGCTGAGGGAGAATATGAGAGGCAAACATGAGTTCAGGGTAGCTTCTTCAAAGACCAATTCTCAAATAATGTGTGTATATATTAATAAAGTCAAGTCAGGTCTAGTTCGCATTGTTCTGAGGCTCAGAACAAGCTTAAGTGTCAGCATTGTTTAAGAATAACTGTACGATGACTTTTTACATCACATTTCACAAAACACAAAAAAGTGCTTTCTAGTATGCCAAAAAGACAGCTATTTGTGTTTTTGTGTGCACATGAAAATCAGGATTAATATCAGAATGTGTAAGTCGTGAGTGTACACATTTCATTATACTTGGGAGTAAGTACCTTGAACATAGCAAAAAAAGATTAGTAACATATATTTCTGCTACTTAAAATCTGAGTGGTGTGACTCAGGTGGTACAGCACCATTTTGATGCAATGGGCTGGGAGAGCACAAGGCAGAGTCTCCTACCCTGTGCCTGACTATCCTCGCCAGGGCCCAACAGCTGAAGACCTCCAGGCCCCAGCCAAGGCCATACTGAGGCCACTCTCCACACACTTGGATAAGCCTCAGGCATAACAGAACTGGCAGAGGAACCCAGGTGTGTGGGACCCGGGACTGAGATCT